GAAAGAGTGGTCAAGCATTGGAACAGGCTGCCCAGAGAGGTGGTGGAGTCACCATCCCTGGAAGCATTCAAAAAATGGGTAGATGTGGCACTTCGGGACATGGTTTAGCAGGCATGGTGGTGCCGGGTTGATGATTGGAATGATGATGTTAGAGGTCCTTTCCAACCTTAATGAATCTGTTCCAGTTTTACTTTCATTATAAATAATCCAGCCACCAAGCCAGGAAACATGAAATTACTACTCTGCCCTTAATTGGTTTAGTGGTGGCCTTGGCAATGTTAGGTTAATGGTTGGACTGGGTGATCTTAAAGGTCTTTTCCAACCTAAACGATTATATGATTCTATGATTTCCAGTGTGTTTTGTTAATTTGAGAAAAACACGTCCATTTACATGGACGCACCGTAGCCCAAACGAAAATCAAGGTAGTAACAGTAACATACAGCAAAGTCAAATAAAAATTGTTCTGTTTCCTTCCTGTAGATAAATCTGGTTGATGGTTAACCACATTGCAGCATGGCCTTATTCACTGATACTAATTTGCTTCACCCCGTGTTTAACTTTTATTCACTTACTCAGTAGATGCACAGCAGATAAAATGACACCTGTTTGCTCAAGTTCTTTGTCATGAGTGTGACTTCCTATCACATTTTACTGTTTTCTCCAAATTCCAGATGCATTCATAAATAAAATTAAGCAATTTTTTTCGGTTGAAATAGAAAGCTTCATAGTATGATTTAGAAAAGGCTTTGATTTTTGTTACAACTCTGCAAGAATAAAAAATAGTACAGTTTTAGCTAGCAAAAAAAAAAAAACCAAACAGCCTGTGTCCTTATTTTAAAATGAGTATGCCTTTATATTTAAATTTCTCTGACTTGGCACTGAAAATCACTTCCAATACCCAAAGTGCAGTGCGTTGCATAAGGAACAGAGGGGAACCTCATGAGTCATGAAACACTTTATTTATTTTTATTAGAGGCAACCACATGGAAGAAGTATTTTTACAAACTCATCAAGCTCCATCTGAAAATGTCTTCTGTTGTTTTTACTTATAACTAAAATAAACTTATGCTGTTTACAAACTCTTTTAAAAATTTCCTTTAATTAATTTACCCCCCTTAAATTGGGCTCCCTTCTTCATCAGTGTACACCATACTTTTGAACAATTATTCTCTATCAGATTTAGCTTTCCTAGTCTCATCTGATACATAGGCTTACAATTCTCTTCACCACTTTTCTTTCCTCTTTGAACTTTTCTTCAAATAAATGATCAGAATCATACACTAATGCAGGTAAAAATTCCTCCACACTTGTATAACAGTGTTAGTATTTCCCTGAAATGCTTTTCTTTATTCCTATCAGGACAACGTTCTTCTTTCTCACAGCTGTATCAGGTGTTAGCTCAATCATTCTAACATGTGAATCACTCATTCCCAAACGGCGACTTCCCAGATTGTAGTAAAAACATCTGTAACCACCAGCGTTCAGGGTCACAGGTACTTACTTGTCTGATTTTACCACAACTAGAAAGAACTATACTGCTTAAATACCTTTGCTGATCTGGCCTTAAATACATGCATCTATTCATCAGTTTCAATCCACTCTTGGAAAATCACGTTCTGAATCACAGAATGGCTGCAGGACTTCGGAAGGTCATCTGGTCCAAACCCCTGCTCAAGCAGGGCTACCCAGAGCTGGTTGCCCAGGACCACATCGAGATGGCTTTTGAATATCTCCGAAGAGGGAGACCCCACCATCTCTCTGGGCAACCACTTCCAACCCGTCTCCTACATTACCAGAAAGCCTCTGCAAGGTATTATCTGTATTTATAAAGAAAAGCATACATTTGAGAGCAGTAAAAAAGCAGTGGTAGTTTCACGTTTACATTCTCTAAATTAAACTATAGGTTTACTCTGCTGTGTCATGGAGTGAACTATAATGTTAGGGGACAGTTACCACCAGCCCTTTGCCCCTGTCTTCCCTCATACAAGAGGGTAACACCGCTGTCATCAATACCACTGAACATACTACAGTCAGTGATGTCCACACAAAGTTTCTAGCAGTGTGTAACTCTATAAAACAAGCAAAGATTTGTCTAAATTTCAGTATCAAGTGGAAGAAGCATCTGTCCGTCTTCACCATACCAGGTAACAACTGCTGTTTGGCACAGGTGGTCCTTACACGTGGTATCTTAGATGCACAGTAAAGCTCTTCAACAAAATAAATTCTACAGTTCAAGATACTGCTAAGGTTTTCCATGTAACTAAGTAGTCTTTGCAATGTATCAGCAAGTGGTTAAATTAACAGAAGTTCTTTGAAAAGTACGCTATTGTCTATTTTAAGAAACAAAGAGCACAGTAACTACCAGCCGGAGAAAAGATAAGGCATTTCATACTAGCTTAACATCAGACATTTACATAAAATTGAAGATTAATTTAAGGATTCTCAGTATAAAATATCTGATTAAGGATAACACTACCATTTCTGTCAGACTACTCAAAGAATTATCAAAACTACAGACAAGGTAACTGCCTAATAAACCTTTCATATATACACACATATAGAAACCATTTTCATATCCCAATTATCCAGTGATGACATGAATCTTTTGTTTCTGTAACTTTCTGAGATACTATTTTTTTTCTCTTGCAAGTATTGCAAGAGAACCTGGGAGTAGGCAATGTAACTTTCAGCAGATGGGAGGCAGCATTAAGCCTCCAAACACATTGACAATTTTTAAATGAAAAATTATTACTATACCATATGTTGTGCGCTTCTTTCCCTCCCTTTACACATTATTTCAGTTAGACAAGAGATGTTTCTCAGAAGAACCTGGAGCAAACAGCACCCCAAGTTTCACTCTCTGGACCAAAACGCCAGATGCATCCATTACCGGACATCGTTCTGGGGACAGCAGGGGAATGTAAAGCAATGAACAAATTCAGGACATGCAAACCTCTCCAGAACCGAGTGCCAACTTGCAGTTCCCAAGCTTACATTCCAAGCTTATGTTGCCGCTTATGCTTTTCCAGAAGTTTTTTGGTAGGCAGCATCACATTACACTTTCCACACTTGTACTTTTTTGTGTGTGTTTTTACATGTTTTTGGAAAGCACGTTTATCTACCGTAGAAAATTTACACCTTCTGCAGTGCAACTTTAAATGAGTCTGTAAGTGGCGCTTCAGGTGGCTAGATGTGCGGAAAGCGACAGCGCACTGACTGCACTTGAAGGGCTTCTCACCTGTATGGATTCTCAAGTGTGGCTTCAAGTTTCCATTGTGGGCTGTGGAATAGCCACACTCTTCACACGTGTACGTTTTGACAGGTAGCTGCTTTTGCTCATAGAGACAGCCAGTAGATGAGCTTTCCTCACAAGAGTGTGAAGCCAGATGCTGTTTCAAGGACAGCCATTTGTTTGTAGAATAGTCACAGTTCCTGCACTTGAGATGCTCCATATTAAAATGTGTGACTCTGTGTCTTCTCAGGTGACTGGAAGTACGAAACTTCTTCTGACAAACACTGCAGCTGTAAGGTTTCTCACCTGTGTGAGTTCTTACATGTAGTTCAAGGTTGCTTAAAATGTAAGTAGCGTACTCGCACTCTACGCACTGATAGAATCGTGGCTGACTTTGTGCTAGCGAATCATTTTCTTTGCACCTCTGGACATCTGGCTGTACTCCACAGACTTCCGAAGCAAGCAAGGAATGGACGCCGTTTGAACCTTCCGAGGAATGAAAATCTGTTTCTGGACACATGCCTACACGCATTTCATGATGCAATTCAAGATTCTCTAAACGGCTATCTGCATAGAGGCAATGGCCAAACTCATATCCATTCTTTACATGAACGAGGCTGTGTTTCTGCAAATGGTTTGATGTTTTAAATGTCTTATTGCATTCTTTACACACAAATGGTCTTTCATCTGTATGTATTTTTAGGTGCAGCTTAAAGTCGCTATGAACAGAGGTAGCATAATTGCAGTGTCTGCACTTGTACATTTTGAACGTAGACAGATTGGAAGGCCACGTATCCTTTAAGTTTTCCACAAATTTATGATACGCATCATCATCTTGAACTTGTGAATGAGAGGCCTTGGAGTTGAAGAGAGGTTCCTCTTTGCAAATGACAGTGTCCATTTTGTATGAATTCAGAGGAACTTCTGATCTATTCCCAGTAATAGGTAAGCTCTTGCTTCCATGGCTGTTTTCAGGCAATTTCTTTCCAGAGCATATTTTCTTGTTGTCCCGCACATCACCTGCCCGCTCAAAGTCTACTTCTGAAGCCAGCCTTCCCCCACTGAGACAATCCTTTTCTTTACCGGAAAGAGACAGAGAAACATGGTCCTGGGAATCACTGTCAACTTTGCGTATTTTGCTGTTATGATATTCATTGCTCTGATTTGTACAACCATTAGCAGCAGCCTTAAACTGTTCATGAAACTTCTTATGAAAGCTGAGATGTCCTCTAGTGTAAAACACTACGTTACACTCATCACATGTATAATTCTTTAAGGGTCTTCGAGTTCTCTTTCCTCTGCTTACAAAGTCGAGTTGCTGCCCTTGGCATGTTTCTTTGCCTGCATGTAATCTTCTGTGTCTCTTTAACCCAGCGGTACTTGTGAATGCCGACTGGCAGAACTCACAGGAATAGGGTTTAGCCCCTGTGTGTATGTAGCTATGCCTTACCATGCTGGCAAAATATAACGAAAAAAAGGTGCAAAACCTGCACTGGTACAGCTTATACCCAGCATGCCAGTACATGTGATTTAACAGAGAGGATAAGCTAATGCAGGAGTAATCACATTGAGGACACTGGTAAGGTGGTCTCTCTTTATGTCCCTTCATGTGATGAACAAAAATCCTAGGATTTGATGAAGCAAAGAAACAAATTTTGCAGGAAAAACTAACTGGCACACCCAGAGGTGTAAAGTCCCTTTCAATTTTGATGAAAAACTTCTCATATTTACTTTCTTTTTTCTTGGTCTCAGATTTTCTTTCTTCAGATCTTCTCTGCCTAACTTTTCTCGCATTTATTCTATTTTTTCTTGCTTTTTGCAACCTAGTCATTTTCTTATGAAATTTAAGGTGATTCTTAAGGTTGACAGAAAAGAAAAAGGTTCTTTTACAAAAGCAGCATTTATGTATTTTCTTATCTTTATGAGCTGAATAAACATGTTTCTTTAGATGTGAACTGCATTTATATGCAGAACTACAAAACCTGCACTTCAAATTCAATCTTTGATGGTTATTTATAGAACAAGACGCTTTAGAAAGAGGTTTGATGGTCACACTGCTACTTAGCCATGATAAACCTTCTTGCTGGCTTTGGAATTCTTCTGGGCTTGCATGAGGAGAAACAACTTTTTGTTGCCGATATCTTTTTTTCAGAAATGGTGTTAATGTCTTATAAATGTGCTCTCCAGTAGTATTTGATTCAGCAGAAGTGGAAGCTTTCATCTCCGGTTTCCCTGTGTCTTTTAGCAATTCTTCTGAAGTAAGAGAACACCCATTAAGAACTGGAGCAGAACTATTATAGGTACATTTCAGTTCTTCTTTCACATCATGTTCCAAAAGAGAACTCAGAGTTTCATCTTCAAATTTGCTACTCTTTCTGTTATCAGCTTCACCATCTCCATTCTTTGAAGAATCAGGATCTACAGGGGGATAAAAAGTCACATGCATGACCTTTCATACAGTCACCAACGTTCATGATTAATTGGTAGTAATAATCCCAAATTGACTCACGACTTGCTTGCTCTTCACTCCTTTTGCTTTCTTAATATTTTCCCATCTCCACTTCTTTTCTAATGTCTTTCTCTGTGTCCATCCATGTCCCTCCCCCTCCGCCCCCCCCCAATTTAAATAATGATTTAAGACAAGAAATCCTAGGTAGGAGCCTCCCTTTTTCCACCTCCTCTTTTCACTCAAAGCTCTGAATTCCACATGACAACACTGCATCCCCTACAGTTTTTAATGAAACAGCTTTATGCCAGAATTCCTATGAAAGTACTGTCACTGAACTTTGCTAGGGCTCCGTTCTCACAAGTGTGACACTTCTGCTGTCTTCTGTCTGTTAGAAGGGCAACTACTCTTAGTACTTCTCTATGCCTTTCTTCCTGAAGGACTTCCATTTGCGATATGGAATGGTGGAGTTTAAACTTAAATTATGCCTCTCCCAGTCTCTGCTTATATTGATGAGTTACCACCTGTTAGTTTTCTCTCCCTAATATCTCTAACTGGGATAAAAAACCTTCAACCTAAGTTTTTATTTTCAGATCTTTTTCCCTAGTGAAAGGCTGCCCTTCTGCAAACTGCAGCAGAATGAAACAGTACCAATTAATTGTAGTTCCACTATTTTTCACAGGAGTCTGTGGAAGAACTAAGCACAGTCCAGCCAATATTGTCTTTCTGCTGCACACAATATTAATCTATGTTGAATGCTTACTCTAAAATAAACAGGTTTGGCATTCTTCCTATACACTTTCCTATTTCAAAAACTTGAGATTTACCAGATTTGTTAAACTCTTGCACTAGTCTTATTAATAAGTTACCTTCAGTTTCAACACTTGTCTCCATGTCCTCGTGGATTTCCGGTTGTTTCTCTTGACTGCCATCAGAAAGAACACCTGCAACACTGACGGGTTCCTCTTCTTGTCTGGATATCGCTGCCAATGTCAACTGTTTGCTTGTCTTGATGGTATCATCTCTAACCTCACTGCCAGGAGGGGAGAGGAGAGGAGGAATCTTCTGAAAGCCATCATCACCATCACATTCTTTTCCGTCACTCGTTTTGTTTATTTCTGTAAGCTCTGCTTTGCAAGACGATGTAGGCAACACATAGTTTTGACTACATTCATCTGTGCCTGCATCACTTAAAGGTGATTTTGATCTGTTACACTCACTCTCAGCAGCCCATTTTTCTTCAGAATATTTCATACTGCTATCCTTATTTGAAGCAGTCTTGCTCTCTTCCCAAACGCTTAAACTGTTACCGTCATTTGAAGGTGTCACATTGGTTTCCAGGAAAACGCTATTGTTTAAGTTAACCTCCTGCTCCTCCTCCCCCTTCAACTCAGGAAGCGACGCTGCTTGCTCCTCAGCACCCTCTTGGAGAAAATCATCATCGCTCAGCACAAAGACAGTGATCGGCAGAACAATTTCGAAGACATCCGCCTCTGAGGACAGGAAAAGAGAGCGCTCATACTATTTCCAGAAATACCTCAAGCGACCGCGGGCCACCGACT